TTTTCAGCAGATGATACGATAATAATTTGGTCGCCCGACCATCGGCTTAAATCACTTAAGTATTACTCGAGGTTATTGATGCATAAAACTCTATATTTAGATATGAACAAACGTGTTTATCCTCTTACTGTTTGAAAAGAAAACAATATTCTTTTTATTTATCTATTTATTTTCATGAGGAATAATCGTTACATTGTAATGCTTTCTGTAGTGATTATTTGAGAGTCGTACATGTAACCCCGAAATCTGTGATGAATGCCAAATCTTTCAATACAGCGGTTACAGAGAATGAATCCCATACTGACAAAATTGTTGGCTATGTGCTAGGAATCGTTGCTATGGGTTAAATGAGTACAAAAATACTTTCCTAAAACAAACATGACAATGTCAATTTTTCTCAAACACATTTTTGTGACTTGATTTAGATAAATTTTACAGGTTTACATGAATATGTGTCAAAATTAAGTTTCTTTGCCTCGTTGCTATGGGGAAGTGTTGTTGTTGCTATGGAAATAAGTCAATGAACGATATTCAATAATTTGCTACAACATTTTATATTCTTTCCACACTCTCAGCATATACAATTATCAGCACATTACTTGAATATTCAATTCCATGACAAACAATACGATCCCAAAGTCAAATCTGTTTTACAGGAGGCATAGTACACATTGGTTGTCCTGTACTAGGAATCGTTGCTATGGGTTGATTAAGTACCAAAAAAACTTTAATAAGACCAAAATTTCATCGTCAATTTTGCTCAACGACATTTTTCTGACTTAATTTGAATAAATTTTTAGTAAGATTACATGAATACATGTCAAAATTGACTTTCTTTGCCGCGTTGCTATGGAGAACCTGTTGTTGCTATGGAGATAAATAATTATACAATATTCAATAATTTGCTAGGAAGTCCAAATTTAATTCTGCTATTTTAAAATTTGTTTTTCATTTTTGTAGATAACAATTCATTTGATTTTTCCGTAAACTTTTTACATTGTTTCTCATTTTATGTATCAAAATGCCCATATTTGTTGCTAGGCAACAAATTCAATTTTCAAAAAGGCCCATGGATTTGACTTCAAATTCTGAAAGAGAAATTCATCTGCTTTTATGTGAAATACACGCAACAGCTGTATTAATCTGGCCTTTTTTTAAATTTGGCCTTGAATATTGCCAAAATCACGAAAAATGCTGAATCAGCAAAAATTGCAAAACATGTGTGCCTTCCAATGGCTAGCACAGAACTAACTTAAGACCTAAATTTCTTTTATTGCATTATTAAAACACTTTAAATGTGTATCTTTATTACACCAGTAATTGAGAATAATTTTCATGGTATTAAAATTTTATTTTAAGCCTTAAAGATAGGTGAATTTTTGTCCATCAACATGGAAAAAATTGCCGGTTGCTAAGGAAATTTCTTTGGCCGGGTTTCCATGGTAACCATGACTCAAAACATTTTTCATTTTACATACGTTGTTCATATTGCAAGAGAAATTTATGAGTGAAAAATCATCGAATTCTGAAAACCTTCATGTATCACTTTCATACAATTTTGTCTGATTTTTATGTGGACTGGTACTTAAGTTCTTAACTACAAACTATCACAATTTTAACTGTGTTCTGATTTTTACATCAAATAAGGGGCCAGATTCAGCCGTTACCATACCTTGTCCTTTCAGGTCATACATGCGAAGTAGAACAAATCCAACACTAAAGATATGAAAAATTATTTTTCTAGCCCTGAACTTTTATTCAGTAAAGAAAAAACGCATGTTGAAGTTCTACCGTATTTTACCCATTAATTTTCTATATTATTTTTTATTTTTAAGGGATTTATAAAAATAGTTTAAATATGTCCATAATCACCCAGTCCTTTTAAATATCCAAAGGGTTAAAAATATGTCTCTCACAAGACAAAAGCTAAGTTGTCCAGGAAGTTTCGCATTTTCATCGAAACAGTCATGTTAATCAATTCGAGATAATTCCTATCTATGGTATCTCTATTTACTAAAAATGAATAAAAATAAGGGGGGAAAAACATCCTCGTTTAATATATGAAATCTAAATATATGTGTTAAAATTAATGAGAATTTCCCTGAGAAGTTACTTTTCAAAAAAAAAAAAAAAAGAAAAGAAAAAACACCCCCGCATAATATATAAAATCTAGATGTATGTATCAAAATTAATAAGAATTTCCCTGAGAAGTTACTTTTCAAAAAAAAAAAATTAAAGAAAAAACATTCCCGTGTAATATATAAAATCTGGGCGTATGTGTCAAAATTAATGAGAACTTCCCTGAGAAGTTACTTTTTAAAAAAAAAATTTAAAAAAAAAAAAAAAAAAAAAAAAAAAAAAAAAAAAAAAACATTCCCGTGAAATATATAAAATCTAGATGTATGTGTCAAAATTAATGAGAATTTCCCTGAGAAATTGCTTTAAAAAAAAAGTACTTTATCCGCATTTTTCAATTAATACATGTATCATCTCATATATTCACTTAATTGATCATACCTTAAATGTACTCATTTCAGCAATAATATTATTTCAGCGCCTTTCTCGCTGCTTTCTGTTCGCTAATTCAAGTACATGTACAATGCTAATATATATAATAAACAAATACACGCAACAGCTCTGCTCAAAATATCACTGTACTATTACAAGTGAATTTAAGTGCATAGGGTATGAAGAATATCGAAACACAAATTAAAATATATTCGGTGGAATGTTTTCCCAAGCAAATATCCCGTGTCCCAGTAGGTCAATTGGTGCCGTGTTACAACGCACTTCGAGGTCAAGGTCAAGGAAGTGGTGAGTCGGGTTTTCGATCGGTCCCGCAAAGAAACTAAAAAACTCATTTTAAAACATATTTAAACTTGTTGTCGAGCTCTAAAAAGGATATTATTATAATTATAATCTTCTCGCAACATTCTGCATTCAGAATATTGACTTTGTAGTGTGTCTTTGTGATATTTTTAAGAGAGAAACATTCCCTCTTTGTGTGACAATGAGCAAAGCTCACTCGTATGTACTGCTATGTTGTGAGGCCTTCATTAAAAATATCTTTGTTTCCCCTAACCCGACCCTAAAATCTCAAGTTGGATAGGTAGGTAGGCAAATTTTTTTTTTCCTGATAGCAGCTTTAAAAATACATTCTGCAATTTAATGGAATAATACCTTTATAAATGAAAGAGAGTACAAAAGAAAGTAATTTGTAAACCGAATATGAAACAATTGCCGTTTAAAAGCAAAATTTAAGGTAAATTTACAATTCACAACAATTATTCCTTGTAAAATATCTCAAGGAAGTGTAAATTTATTGAAATGTTAAAAAAGGCTTTAAAAATACTTAGATACGTAAAGACTGGACATCCGAGTATATTTTTCAAACCTACTGTCAGCTTCAAATGCTTACATATGCAAAGTACTTTTTCAAGGGCCTCGAATTGTGCATTTCAATTTGGGGTCCCGAAGTAAGGAGCTACAATGTAATTCTAAGTCGTAGGTTCAAATCACATTGTGGGTCGTTGAGACCGGTCAGACTGTAAAATTTAGGTCCAGTGTCGCAGTAGATGCTGGTACAAAAAAGATCTATCACTGCTCGATGGTAAAAAGTTCCGGGTTCAAGTCTAAATTTGGAGCCCTTTACAGGGCAAACGTTCAAACAAACCCAAAGGAATTTAAAGTAAAGAAACAACCTATCTCCAAGGGCCTAATTAAATAAAAATACACTGGACGTCTCAAGAAGCTGTATCACGATTTCAAAACTATATTTGGAAAGAGTTTGTAAACAATATTCAATTGAACCAAACCATGATCTAAAATGATTAAATGTCATACACGATGTCATAGTCATGAAGCTTAACCCATGAATAAAAGGCATGAATAAAGAACGTCTGAATTTTATTCATCGGAATGAAATATCATATGCACACATATTTACAACTCCTGTAGGCACATATAGTAAACATAAGAACATAAATGAACTGTCTCAGATTAAATAAAATTTAAAATTGATTGATGTGTTCACAAGGTTGGCCCCTTATCTGCTTATAAGGCGACTACTCTGTACCTTAATTTTATAAGATAGGTTTGAAAATATCACCAAATCACAATTAGTCATAGTGAATTTTATTAACGAAATGTTACAAGTGAGTAGGATTCTAATAAGCTAAAGGCAAAAGGTGAATACGTCGCCGTTGTTTCATAACAAGAACCCTCTGAGACCACAATGTTATGGGCACCATTTTGTTTCCAACAAAGGCTTGAAAATCACAGTAGATCAAAATTGGTCATTCTCATAAAAACCGGATTTTGTTGAAATTGTATTTCATAAAAGTTGATGAACAATTAAAAAAAAATATTTGAATAAACTTATTTAAAAAAAAAACTTTTCAGTCGGCGCGATTTAATTGGGTCGGTCGCGTTAGGGGAAACAAACATATTTTTAATTTTGGCCTGAGGTCTGTACTGCGGTATTGTGTTTTGTGTTGAACGTAACATAATGTGAGACACACTAGTCTGATTAAACATATCATATAGTACTGTATAAGTGACAAAATGTCGATGACAGAAACAGCAAATCTTGTTACTAAAAGCCACAGTGTGATCGATGGAGGCACCAAACTGTGTAATGGTAGTGAAATTACTTTGGCACAAATACATTCTTTACTGACCCAAATGAATTCTAAACTGACAAATATAGAATCCAAAAACAACTGTTTGGAAGCTCGTCTGTCCGAAATTGAAAAGAAAATTTCAGCTATAGGAGAAATCCGAATTGCAGTAAATACAGTAACATCTCAGGTCAACGTAATGGAAGAAGAAATGAAAACTATCAAAAACGATCAGAAAGAGCTAGAATCTAACGTGTGTTCCTTAGGTAATTTATTTGATTCAGTAAAGAAACAGTAGAATCCAACACGAAACAAATTACTGAAAATCGAAAGGAGTTGGTCGAACTCCGAGAGGGAAAAGGTCAACAAGGTCAAAAGATCATGGAAGATATAAAGATATTGAATGAGGCACGTGCCAACCTACGGGAGTCGATGATTGATCTGAAAGCTCGTTCCATGAGGGACAATCTAATATTCAGTGGAATATGGGAAGAGAAAAATGAAGACACCGAAGCAGTGTTACAAGAATTTATCCACCGCAAATTTAAACATTACTACGAGATTTCATTTGAGAGAGTGCATAGGGTGGGAAAGTGGAACGAATTTAACGAATACCCCCGCAACATAGTGGCTAAGTTCTCTTTCTTTAAAGATCGAGAGTTCATACGGACACGTGCACCCCAAAAACTAAGTGGAACTCATGTCTGGGTCAATGAGCAATATCCCACTGAAATAGAAGAAAAAAGGAAGAAATTGTATCCCGTCATGAGACAGGCCAGAAAAGATAAGAAAAAGGTGAAACTTGTTCGTGACATATTATACATTGACGGTGAAGTTTACATTCCTAACTCGCTTGATCAGATCTAGACTGATCAATACGCGACCAATCAGTCGAATCAGAGTAAAAACAACAGCGACCGACAATCTAAGAAAAGGCCAGACGTCCACGCCAGACCGAGACGGCTAGGAATGCGAGGGAGAGCAGTCTTCACACCGACCTAAATTCTTGGCATTAAATGTGTGTGGACTCAGGCGCAAACTACAGTATCCTGAATCTTTAAACTTTATATCTGAATATGACATCTTATGTTTCACTGAAACAAAAACAGATAATACTGACGATATTAACATACCAGGTTATTGTACTTTCATGAAAAATAGATTTGATATAGCTAAGGTTAAATCTGGCGGGATAGTTTTAGCTGTTAAAGTTGATTTTGTTAATTTTTTTTACCCATTGCCCATATGTCTACTGGTTTTCACTTGCCAAAACTTTGTTTAATCTACCAAATGACATCCTATTTGGAACTGTATATATACCCCCTGAAAATACAAAATATGCTTCAAAAGATTGATTTCTAGAAATAGAGAGAGAATTGTTTAATCTCTCACATGACACTGAATATACATGCTTGTTAGGTGATTTCAATGCCCGTGTGGGTAAACTGCAGGACTATGTAAATATTGACGAATTTATAGCAGATCATAATAATTGGGATGAAGAAACAAGACAAGCTATTACACATGGTAGCATTTTATGTGACACGAATATAAAACTTGATCGTTTACCTGTAGATACTACTTGCAATACTTACGGGTACAAATGCATTGAATTCTGTCAAAATAACAATATATTTATAGCAAATGGTAGAGCTGGTGAAGATAAACTCACGTGTAGAAGTAGTAGTACAGTAGATTATGTAATATGTAGTGTATATATGTTCAAATTGCTTAAAAATTTTTACATTCATGATTTTTGTAATTTTTATTCTGATGTTCATTGTCCAATGACATTTGAACTCGAAAACCTAAAGGTAGAAACTCACTCAACCAATCAACCGTGTGACGAAAACAACAACAAACAGTATAAATGGAACCCGGAAAAATCTGAACAATTTAAAGAAAACATTGAAGTTGATAAATTGAAAGAATTACAGACAGAAGTTTTAAAACTTAGAGAAAATCTTGATACTGTCCAAAATAGCGATATAAACAACATTTCTAGTAAATTGTGTAGTCTATTTCTATCTACAGCAGAAATTACACTAGATGTGAAAAACAAATCAAAACTGAAAAATAATCAAGAAGTTAATAGACCATGGTACAATGCGACATGCCGGGCTGCAAGAAGAAAATTTCATTTGGCTAAACGTCTTCACAATAAACACAAAACCCCGGAGAACTCCGAAAATCTTAAGATTACAAGTAAAGAATACAAGAAAACAATGGATAAATGTATTAAAGAACATTCTTTATCTATAACGTCAAAATTAGAAAATCTACAGAAAAGTGATATTAAGGAATATTGGAGAATTTTAAGGTGGTATGGGATACCAAACGAAACTTCTCCTACATATTTATGTACCCAAATTAGAAGGATTTGAAATACCCCCACCTTTCAGTATATTAAAGTGTAATTTTAATAATTTTTTTATTATTTTAATGAGAAATACAAAAACGATTTTTTTTCTTGCATAATTCTTTTTTCATAAGCTTAATATTATAGGCAGGCGTTTGCTAATATAAAGTGTTTATAAAAACAAAAATGACAAGAAATATGTCTTAGTATTTTTTTAATTTTCAACAAAAAATAAGCGTAAAAAACTGGGAAAACTTTATTTCTTGAAAACAGACGGATAACATTTCATGAAAGTCTACAATAAGAATGTATCTTGATATGTTAGCAAAGTGAAATAAACAAATTGAAAATATATATATAAATGGAAAATATAAAATGCATTTAAATTTTTTTGAATTAAAAGATCCGAGCGGAAGAGTTATCCTTCTTTATTTTCCAAGGGCTGAAAAAACCTGGGTGCTATTTTAGAAATGATGAGCATTTTTTCCCAACCATAAAAAAATCGCACTTTGTAGTTTTCAACTTTGAGCGGTTTTGAAAACAATGCATGGACAATCGCTTTCCAGGACGTGTCTTGTTCAGAGCAATTGCATTCATCAGATGTTCATCTGAACGTTTTGGGACTATATACAACAGCTAGCTGATTTGTGACCAAACAGTTTCTTCTTGAATTAAATAACAAAAAAGTCCAGCTCTGATTAACGTGATAATTGATTGGTGATAATTCAGCACAATGTGAAGTAATCGCACTTATCCATGCCTCACCGCACACAAGGTGCTGTACAGTTACTCAAACAATTGAAATACAGCTTTTGCTTAAAAGTGTTCAAAAGCAGCAATGTTGAAACTACCTTTTACAGGGGTTTGCTTTTTTAAATGTCCGTTGTACAATTATAAGTAAATTTATATACTTGCGATTTTTTTGTCTGTTTTTACTTAAAATGCCGACTTGTGAGAACTTGCATTGAAATAAGCTTCAGAGTGTTCTTTTCAACGGTGTATCTACAAATTTTGACCCGATAATAAGCACTCATGCAAATCAAAACAATACTTCAAACGGAAATACGTCATACCGTGGAGGTATCCCATACTACCTTAAATAGTTCGAAGGCTAGATGTAAAACTGAAGTTGATATCAAAGCAATGTACGATTTTTTGAAAAAAAATTAATGAATCTAAAGATGATGAAGGTGATGTAGATGATATTGATGTCAATCTCGATAATAACTCCCCTTTAAATTGTCAAATCTCTGCAGAAGAAATCTTGCAAGCAGTTAACAAACTGAAAAATAATAAAGCTCCAGGATATGATCAAATTTGTAACGAATATATAAGTACAACAACATCATGTTTTTTGCCACTATATGTTGACTTTTTCAATCTGATTTTTGATACTGGTTTTGTACCTGAGGAATGGCTTATTGGTATCGTTAAGCTAATATATAAAAACAAGGGAGACCCAACTCTTCCTGAAAACTATAGACCAATAACACTATTGAGCTGTTTAGGAAAAGTATTTACCAGTATTTTATGTGAACGTTTGAATATTTTTGCTGATGAGTTAGAATTGATTACTGAAGCCCAAGCTGGCTTTAGAAAAGGATATGGTACAATAGATAACATACTGATATTAGATTTTTTTGTGTAAATTTGTTTCTTTTAGTAAGAAAAAACTTTATTGTGCATTTATTGATTTTAAACAAGTCTTTGATACTGTTTGGCGATCTGGTTTGTGGTCCAAAGTGTTTAAAAGTGGTATAGATGGTAAATGTCTAAGAGTTATCAAAAATATGTACAGTGGTATTAAATCGAAGATATATATTGATCAAAATATCTCTGAATTTTTCATGTGTAACCTTGGGGTAAGACAAGGGGAAAATTTATCCCCATTTCTTTTTACTTCATATATTAACGATTTAGAAAACTATTTATTGCAGAACAATATTGAAGGGGTTACGAGCTTTAGTGAAAAATTAGAAATTGAAATGCAGATTATGTTTAAACTATTTATACTTTTTTATGCTGACGACACAGTTTTATTATCTGATAATCCAGAGGATTTACAAAGATCTTTGAATATTTTCTCTGATTATTGTGACCATTGGAAGCTTCAAGTAAATACAGACAAGACTAAAATTGTAATTTTTTCTAGAGGAAGAATTTCAAAGAAAATATTTTTGTATAGAGGTGCACCAATTGAAATTGTGAAAGAATTTAAATATTTAGGTGTAATCATGTCTCGTAGTGGTTTTTTCAGAAGTGCCAAAACACATTTAACTAAACAAGCATCAAAAGCCATGTATGGAGTACTTAGAAAAATAAGGTATTTTAATTTGCCAGTAGATTGTCAAATAGATCTCTTTGCTTTGACAGAGTTATAAGCCCAATTTTGATGAACGGGTGTGAAGTATGGGGCTACGAAAATACAGAAATTTTAGAAAAGGTACACTTAAAATTTCTGAAATTTATTTTACATGTTAAATCCAGCACTCCAAATTGTATGGTATACGGGGAAACTGGGCGATACCTTTTAATAATACGTATAAAGGTACGAATGATTACTTATTGGGCTAAACTTTTGATGTCACATGAACGTAAGTTTACATATATAATGTATTGCTTTCTCCATAAATGCTTTTCTGAAGGTTTATTTTTGCATCCATGGTTGAAATGTATAAGAGATATTTTGAATTCATGTGGTCTGTCTTATGTGTAGATGAATCAAATTTTTTTCCAGTATTTCTTGGTTAAAATCTATTGTGAAAGAGACATTGTTAAGTCAATTTTTACAAGACTGGCATATGAGCATAGAAAATTCATCTAAATGTTTAAATTACAGGATTTTTAAAAACAATTTTGGACGAGAAATGTACCTAAGTAAACTCCCAAAAGATTTAAGAATTATATTGACAAAATTTAAAATTTGTAACCACAAACTTCCAATCGAAGCTGGTAGATGGACTAATACTGACAGATCTTTAAGAATATGTAATTTATGTAAAAAAAAATACTTTAGGTGATGAATTCCATTATGTAATGGAATGTCCATACTTTTCCTCATTACGTATGAAACTTATTGATAAGAAGTACTGTTTTCATGTAAATACTTATAAGTTTGAGAATCTTATGTCCACCACAAATGTTGACTCACTGATAAAGCTGACTTTGTTTGTTAAGAAGATATTGGCCTGTTTTCAGTAATACTATTCATTTGACACTACTCTTCCTTACTTGACTTTGAATTTTGTATATATGTAAATATGTTCATGTACCTCATATACCATTGTATGGTCTGAGAGAAATAAACAAACAAACAAAAAGACCTACGCACGCTAACTCCCGACACCCATTGAATTCAATACTAATGGTAATTTGTCCAAAAAATAAATCTTTGTTGAATGCAAAGAAGAGTTCAATGGTAATTGATTAATAATTTTAATACCAGTGTTAAATAGTAAATTACTCTTAATTCCAGCTCTTTTTATAAGGGGGGTAGACGTTGTTTTCC